AATAATAATAATAATTTCATAATTAGCTCGTATAATACAAACACATAATGTAAATATTGTACCATTTTTTTTTTTTTTTTAATTTCGTAAAAATGTGAGAAATATGCGAGATAGTTTGGACACATCAGAGAGGTCAGAAACATTATATAAGAATGGTAATGAAAATAAACGTAGGACGAAAGAAAGAAAGAGGAAGAACGAAAAAGAGGTGGTTAGATGGAACCGAGAATGATATGAAAACGTCGGGGGAGGGGGAGTTGTATGCTAGGATAATTCAGGGGATCGGGTCAAGTGGAAGTTTTCGGATGAGGGTGACCGACCCCAAATAATCAGGATGAATGCAAAGGAGGAATATAGTAAACAAATTATAAATTAATTTAATGAAACAGGTAGTGCGAATAAGTTCGTTAGGGGTTTTAATATATTTTGAATTGAATAAAAATTAATTAATTTATTTTCATAAAAAAAAAAAAAACAAAACAGAAAAACTTCTTATCTTGATCTACTCATAAATGTTTGTGATTATGAATGGTGTAAGGAATTTATTGGCTTTTTTTTTTTTTTTTTGCGACAACTTTTCGACCAGAAATTTTGCTGAATTTTAGTGATTTTTTGGAAGGAAATTTGTGTGAAATGGCTCAGGTCATTTTTGATTTTCCGAGGGGTTTTCCTAGTAAATAGAAAAATCGTGAGAAAAACGGGAAAGTTAACGAAACGTATTATTTTCAAATCGCTAATATTACGGCCTTTCAAAACATGTACAACCAAACTCCGCGCAGAATCGTTTTTCATTAGCAATGATTAATCTTTGCATACAAATGATATACAAATAAATTTTCCGTTCACTTTTCCCACCTCTCGCCTACAACGGTGACCCACACATCGTATGAAGTATGTCTGTTGTGTAGTCCTTGAATTAGAGTAGGTATCTGACTTTACCTATTATATCTAAAATAATAATAATTTATTTACTAATAATCCAGTTTACCATTAAAAAAAAAAAAAAAAAAAAAAAAAAATGGGATATAAAATATAAATAATGGTATTAAATACAAAAATCTAGCGAATATTACTTATATATATCTAATAATAATGATTATGTCGATAGATTTTTTAGAATTTTCCGTTGTGCTCGTTTACGACTGTGTAACATAATGTTTCAGAATGTTTTGATTGCAAAACTAGATTTGTATAGGTACTGGAATAGGTAGGTTACTTAACGGTCCACGGTATATCGTTGCGAACGACACGAAACATAGTGTTTAATTAAAATACTTTTGTGATTTTCGGTGAATAATTATTTCCGTCGGAAAATCTATTTCGTACTATTAAAAAATTCGTGTAGACGAACTATACGGAGGATACCTGTATAATATCAAATATACCTGTTATACACGTCGTCGACCCATATTATAATGTACTCCAACATTATGAAAAAAGAAATTATGATTTTGTCATTGTTCTAAGACCGCCACCCAATGTACACGGTACTTGACAAAATTTCTCAAAATAACCGACATTTCACCCCCTAGATCTTATATTTGAAAAATTTCCCCAAAACAACAAAAGTTTTTCTTAAAAATTAAAACCTCGTAATTACCTCGCATGATGAGTGCGCCACTTTTTTCAACGAGGAGTTGAGAAGGTAGGATACAGAATTGAATTTAATTAATTATCAATCGAGTAATCATTGCTAACGAAAAACAATTCTGAGTGGTATATTATAAACTAAATTGTCCTTTATCGAGTACTCTTTTTTTACTCCCAACTTTCAACAGTGGCCGGTGTGTTTTAATTCCTAACGATTTTTACTGGGGGGGGGCAATCGCAATCCCATCCAAACCTAATAGTCGATATCGTTCGACTTCTCCTCAGTGATATTTGACTGGGAGTCTAAATCTGTTATAAATCTAGTTGTCTAGTTATTTTCGATTCCCATAAATTTAAACACCTCCCCCCAAATAATGTTTGCCGATGTAATTTTTTTTCCGTCCGCCATTTTTACTTTGGTTTTTAGTTGTTTCCTATACGCATATCGTTTGTTTTATTAGATACGCGTTTGGAAAAAACCTTTATAAATAAGCGCGTATCGAAGACTGATCGCGAGTGCGATGCACGTTGTACGCATCACTTTGAACACATGTATTATTAATATACTTAACTGGTTCGTGTTTCCTTTTTGCCAGAATCAACAATTCACATTAAACTACTAATTTATTATTGTATAAACGTATCATATTATTAACTACATTACCCTATATATTATTCTATGTACATTTCTGACTTACAACGGTGGCGCAATAAGTATTGGTGCCAGATTTTTATTTTCATAATTAAATTTTTTACCGATGAAATTTGTAAACGGTTCCCTGTTTGTTAACGTGTCCGTTTTGATACAGTATTATCGTTTTCCGTAATACAATCAGTGGTGTTTCCATAGGATGTTCTACTGTATTCACGCCGCTGTAAACTCTCAACAGTTTGTTGAACAATCTCGGGTATACTGCTCTCAAATAGTTGTTTAAAAAAAAAAAAAAAAAAAAAAAAAAAACAACATTCGTCATGATATTATATACTATAATATAAAATAATTATTATTATCGTTGCCGTTTCATACCACTCAAATCTATTATACTCAGTTATAATTATGTTTTATTTATTCAAGTCATTTTAACTGAAAAATCAACAATATTATCTGATGAATTACGAAACATTTTTTTTTTTTTTTTTTTTTCAATTGAATTTTTGTAAAATCGATTACCTCGTAAACAATAGGCCCTATACGGTATGTTCATTAACCACCGGAACGATATAAAATACCCAGTGTAAGGCTCAGGAAATATTATAGTCTATACACTTTCAGAAAAAGTCACCACTGTTTACAATATCGCGTTAATCTGGTATCTATTACTTACACGGTACGTCGTATATACAGGTACCGTATTGAAACCGGCGTTAAATTTATATACATCGACAAATCAAAAAAAAAAAAAAGGTTAAAATGTTAGTTATTATTTTCTTTCGTCGGATTCACTTAAACTCTGTACCCGCATCCTATATGCATTAATATTTTAATTTTACGACTTGCAAAAGACCGACGAACAAGTTTCACCGTATTATTATCATATACACACACACACACACACACACACACATATATAGGCAGTTAATGTTCGTATTACCTTTAAATATAATATTGTATAAGTATATTATGATTTCTTAAACATAATTTTAAACGGTAATTTAAATAAATACTTCCGTTCCGTATCCACCTGTTGATTATAAGTTTCTTACGATACATGTATAAATTTTACAAAAAAAAAAAAAAAAAAAAAAAAAAAAAAATGAAGAATCTTGTATTTTTTTTTTCAAAAATATTTTATGTAATTATGAAAAATAAAAACAGGTTTTTTTTGTAATATTTAGATTTTTACCTTTATATGTATTTTTTAGTATAAATATACTCTTGTAAATGTAATACGTTTTTGATGTTCGCATTATTTCCATTTTGTTTTTTTTTTTTTTTACAACAATGTCTATTCTGAAACCAGATACAGTATACTAATACTTATCCGTAATTAATTTTCAATTTTGCGTCTTTTTATTGGGTGTAAAAATTGATATGGGTTTTTAATAACACAGGTATGTTTTTACAGGTTGAGAGTTATAATTAGAGCGAATACACGTTAAAAGTTTACAAAATATGCTCTAAAAGAAAAAAACAATTTTAATATTTTATTTTGTAAATATTTTTAATCGAAGTAAATTTTTTTCCATACCGAATGATGACGATTTTAAGTATTTTTTTTTTTCAAATTTGAAAACCAAAAAAATTAACTTGAGCTTGTTAATTATTCAAAAAGAGTTTAATCGTAATGTACTGGAAAAATGTCACTTTAACACCTATTATACACGGTATAATGAATAGAAATATCTAAAATATATGTCTTTAAACTCTTATATGTGTGTATATATACGAAAATAACGTAAAATATACTAACTATACATTTTGAGACGAAAATCCTATACGAGGATAGTTAGGAAGGATAGAATATTATAGAGTAATTTGGTTTACATACCGTATGCAATATTATAACAGTTCAAACGAAAAACGACCCTGAGCGAAGTAATGTTATTTGTTTTTTTTTTTTTACTAACCTCGATATCAGTAAAAATAATAAAAATAAAACAAATAATTATGAATCTATAAGGTGATCTGCTGAACATTTCGTTTGACATTTTAAATAAACCATCGTTGGACAGAAATCTCGTATATTGTGTGGTACTTAATGAAAAACTGGAGCATTTTTACTAACCGAAAAATTATAAATGAAAAATAACGGAAAAATCAATTTTTGTAAAAAATATTGGTAATTTCGAAAAATATGTCAAATATAGTATCATGTTGTCGGAATGTCACATCATTCAAGGTATTACGGGAAAAATTCAGAAGATTTTCACTAGCCGAAAATGTGTTTTCGAGAAAAAACTCACATCTTAATAAAACTACCTAATTATATTGTTTATGCGCCGCATTCGGATCTAATTTATGTACCCTGCATAGTGACATCCGTATCCAATGAAAAACGTTTCTGAACATATTGTTATATAATATGTAATATGTGTTATTATTTTGTTCAGTGTGCGTCGCGGTTGGTTATTAAATATCCCGGGTGGTCACCCATCCGAGATTCGCTACTGATTCTCCAGGACTACGCTATTTAACTAGACGTCGACTCGACAACATATTTATCATTTATGTCGTCCATATTGTAATAAAATAATATGTATACTTGACGAAAATAATGTCATCTGTTCGTGGCATTGCACTCATTGCAGTACATTAAATACGATAGTAGTAACGATATGAAAACGACTACACAGTCGAATATAGGCTCCAAATGAATTCAAAGATTGCCTTTCAAAACATAGAGCTGCCTAACTGTGTTATTATTTAATTGAGTGTGTAACTGCGGAAACAGCATGAAATTAATAACATTTTAGTCAACTCCTATCAAAGTCGTTATCTTTCGTCACGGGGACGTCTCGTTGTCACCGTCGTCGGAAAAATATAGTACCATTGATAATATTTTTCGGTTTACCGGGGCGTCGTAAGTATTTGCAGTGCCCGGGGGGAATAATTAACCGAAGCATTTGTGACGGACCAAAATACATTGTATCTTTATTGTAATTCGCAAAATATCGATACGCCCATTTCAGATTCTGAGTGGAGCGAACAATGTACTAGTTTTACTACATGGGTTGTTTTTTTCTGTAAACAATTTTTTGATCAGAAATCTTGTTTCAATAGAAAAATTGCAAAATGCAATTATTTTTTGTTGCATTTTGGATCTGTTTGAAAGAAAGTTGTTTTTTTGATTTTTCATTTAGTTTTCTTAATAATTGAACGAAATCGAGCATGACGTGGTACTTTAAAGAACATCAGTCTAATAATTAGACAAATAATATTGAAGACGTATATATATATATATATATAGAGAGAGAGAGTATAATCATTTACGGGTGTGAAACTTGAATAATATCAGTGGAAAACGAAAAAAACTTAAAGCATTTGGAATGTGGAATTTTAGGCAGATGTTGAAAATAAGCGGGATAGACAGGATCATGACACAGGTCACTTTTTAACTTTCTCAGGAGTATCCCAATCAATAAGAAAAACCGGAACAAAAAATGCAGGAAAAACAGAAAAATTTACGAAACGTATTACTTCCAAATCGTAAATATTATGTCCTTTTAAACCGTGTACAACCGAATTCCGCTCAAAATCGTTTTAGTTAGTAATGGTGAGTCGTTTTTGTTAGCAATGATTAATCGTTGCGTATAGACGTATATTAAATTTCCCCTCTACCTTCTCAACTTTTCACCTATAACAGTAGCTCACCCATCTTGCGAAGTATGTCCGTTTGCTTTTTCTATATTAATTTCATAATAATATTCCATGTTTTTGGCTCTTTTAGTTTGTTTTTCGTGGCCATGTATATTGTATAGTACAAGAATATGTAAATTTTTATTTTGTTTCAAAAATCGTGAATTATATTTTTTATATGTAACTATGACTCAGTTTTAATATCTCAATAATAATAGTTTCCTTACAAAAAAAAAAAAATACATAAATGCGAATTAAATTGTAAAAAAAACCATCGACCAAATGCGTATTTATTTACATTTAAACAGACTTGACCAGTTGACCGAAACCTGGAGTTAAACTTGCTCTCGAAAACTCTAAATCCTCCTAGTTCAGATGTATGATATTCGTATACATCATATAGGCCTGACTACATAATTTGACATAAATATACTTAATCGAACGAACAGATAAAAATAGAGATTTCATTGAAATCGAATTGCATTTTTTTCAACTGATGTGAATTTCTGTCAGAAATAATTAACATTTTGTGTTAATTGGCAGGTACGAGGATGGCTTATGCCCGCCCCCAGAATTCTGTCAAGTCGTGCCCCCTCCCCCAGAATGTTTTAAAACCATTGAGGTTTTAGCCTTTTCACGGCATTTCTTAATTAATTGGCCGAATATTTTTTTTTAAGAATTTTTTTTTATCAATATTTCACAAAATGTAAAAAACTTTTTTTTTTGTCAACAGTGTCAACGGTGATAATAAAAATAACTTAGCAATAACATAGCTTGTTCATTGCTGATTTAAAAAATTAAACTTAGATGCTAGAAATCTGAAATAGCAGGGAGACTACATTTTTCTTCAGAAAGACGACAAATATAATTCTAATACACAGTACACGTTACAAAAACCATGTGATAAATATGATGACTAAACAGAATTAAATGCAATTATTTGAACAGTATAGGTACCTATAATTATATTTCAACCTCGAATGGTAAATACAATTTGTCTTATGAATACTTGCTAGATTAACCTATTTCAATTTGAACGAGCTCAGTGGCCGAAATTCGATAGTTTTTGTGTTAACACGGTTTTTTATTCAAATTAATAAATATTTCGGACTCTAATAGATTTATCCTCGTTTTGTTTAATACAATACTATCGAACGTGGTACTACGAAATTTTAATTTGGTGTGTGTGTGTGTGTGTGTGGGTTGAGTATTTATTCCGAAACAATTATAACCGTATGGATTATTATTACAGCTGTCTTTGATTATACGCATAAAGATTTCCTCGGGCTATAATTACATTTTATTAGTTTTTCACGAACACCTATAATAATAGTTCCGTTATCGCGTCGGTAATATTTCAGTAGTAACAGCTACCTGTAAATTAATAAATTAAACAGTAAAAATGCGAAGGCAGAGTTTCCGCTCCCCCTCCCCTTTAATTTTTACACCTATATATAAGAGGTTGTAGATCCGCGTTTGATTTATTACTATCGATCTATACGACGCGTTGTGTTCAACATTATTATTATAATTAAATAATATTTTTTATATGTATAGGCAATAATATTATTGCATCCAAGCGGAGACGAAGACGATTTTCTTACGTTTGTAATGTTTAATATTATTTTATTTATTTATTTTTTTTTTTTTTTTTTGAAAAAAATCTCACGAGCGCGATGCCCAAGCACGTTACCGGGTGCTACACGTACTGTATAAATATAAATCGAATAAATCGACACGTTTGCTTTTATTCCCGATTTATTATATCGCGTTAGTGAAACCAATCGCACGCTCTAATAAATACAGGTGGTGTAAACCGCCCGTGGCTACACCTATGACGTATAGGAGGTATAAAAGTGTATTGTTTCGCCTCTTGCAGCGTTTTTATACACACAGAATTAAACTTGATAACGTTTCGATGACGACGGCGCGTAATATGCAGAGGGCCTGACTAATGAATATTACGCAAAACAGGTTTATTAGCGGTCTTCTGAAATTTCGTCGGTTTATAATAAATGTATTATATTCCATATACGTTCGTGCCCAACATTTTTAACAATTGGTTTTTATTTTGGTTTTTTGTTTTTTTAGTATTTCAATTATATAAGAATATATTATAAGCGTATAAGAACTCCACTGATTTTCACAAATGTACCTATTAATGTGCATAAGAAGTTACCGGTGCGATACGATTGCGCACCGAACGAATATCGGAATTCGCAATTTTCCTTCCCGATTATATAATATGCCCTGGGTGGACAACAAATATCTTGTATTGTCGGATTGGTTGAAAATTGTAATTTATTTTCAAATATGTTTTAATTTTTTTTGCTACAATGACGACCCATTGATTTTTATTTTTATTTCCATTTTTTACCAATGTTCCGATTATTCATGCAGTACCTATACACTAAAAGACGCGCAAATTCTTTTTTTTCGTTTAGGAAAAATGTCTAGGTTCTCAACGGTTTTTCTATAAAATTAAAAAATGTCGACGTATTTTATTGGTTTTTTTTTTTTTGATTTCTCGAGTTACCTTGGCTACGAGGAAAACAACACGACTAACACTACTGCAGATACTACTCCGCCTAGAATAATTTATCGTTGTTTTAAGTATTTATAAATTAAACGACCCTATACCTTTCAAACTTCCCACCTATAATATAGCGGCTTGCCCAGGGCGCAGAATACGTCTTGTTTTTTTTTTTTAATTTATTTATTTATTTGTTTAAGCGCCAAATTAAAATTATGTATCCAACGTAATACATGGAACTGATATTAATAACAAGACAGTAACTGGATAACAATAGCAAAGAACAATCAAAATGAATAACAATAACCTAAAGTTATAAAGTATGTAAAATACAGCGATTGTAGTAACCGAACAACGAGAATGCGGGCAGAGGTCAAACTCGATTGGCCATCCTAAGCATTCTGTGCGTTAGACGACTATGGCCGTAAGTGATGGACCGAGTGAGAATGAAAAAGACGGACCTAATATCGTGCGAAGTAACTTTGAAAAAAACGCGGGAGAGAAGGCAAGCAAGGTGCATCAATAGAGTTGTTGAGAATAGCTAGAATCAATTGAGAGTTAATACAAGTGCGATGGAAGGACAGAGCAGTGATATTGAGACGAAGGCTGGTGTCAGAGTAGTTGTGTCGAGGCCAAGGCAGGTTGAGCGTGTAAGCGGCATGCGAGAAAAATGTATGCTAAACACGCCCGAGACGTAATTGATCCTCGGTAAAATAAGGGCGCTAAGCGACGGCGCCGTATTCAAGGATCGGACGCACAAGAGCAAAGTGCAATGTACGCATGACGCTAACGGAAGTAAAACGCTTAGTGGTCCGTTTAATATAACCCGAAACTTTTAACGCTCTACCAGAGATGACATCCGCGTGTTGAGCATAGGCGAAAGTGCCGGTGTGGCAATAAATACCGAGATGTTTGACAGTGGAAACGCCGCCATAGTAAATTTAAGATTTATAGCGTTTGTATTTATTTCAATACTATGGTTATCATTTCGCATCTGTATAAACGGACGTTGCAGCAGTTGGATTTAGTGGTCATTTCGGAATTGATTCCATTATGCAATTTTCGTTTTTTTTCGTTTTTATTTTTTTTTTTTAAATATTACAAAAACGAATATAATATACTCGAGTACGTTAGGCTGCACGCGCGGTGTTTTCGTTTAAAGCGACGCAGACTGTAAGTATATCTATAATTAAAAACTGATTTAAGATGAGGCCAACCGGCATGTCGATACGCTTTACGCTACGTCTCTATATAACATCCGCGCATGATATTATACATACAGTCGTTCTATAAACGGCTAATTATCTTTGGCGTGAGTGATGATGATTATAGCTGGCAACGAAAATTTGAGATTTTTCGGTTAGGTTAGGTTAATGGAGAGTGTACCGCACGCACGCGAGTGAATACGCGTGTTGAGCGTCCGCGACCCGTTAGCTGTAACTATTACACAGGTGGCACGCGTGTTTCAGCGCTACGTCTGAAACTCGAATGTCGTCGTAAACCGTTCAAAGGGGGGGGGGGGGTTTTTTTTTTTTTTTCAATATTCTAGAAAAAATAAATACAATATAGTTGAACGAACACGCGCGTAAATGCATTACGTTCAAGTTCGGACCACCCGGGTTTAAGGGACGGCGCAGAGTGCTTTGCATAATTCGATAAAGTCAATTTGCCGCCGATGATAGAACATCGTTTTAAATACGCACTTAGACTCGCTAAGTGGGTATAGTTAACGAAACTAAATTAATTTAAGCGACTCTTAATGTAATATTTAACCAGTTATTAATAAATAAAATAGTAATTAAGTCTTTCTTTTTC